TTAAGGAATGAGGGGCACCTGGGTGGCATAGGCGGTTGAGTGTCTGACTTTTGATTTCAGCTCAGATCCTGATCTCAGGGTCGTGAGATTGAGCCCCACCTCGGGCTCCACTGTGAAGTCTGCTTGAGATTCTCTCTCCCTCTCCCCCTGCGCCTCCTGCTAGTGTGCACACTCTCTTTTCTCCCTCTCAAATAAGTAAATAAATCTTCAAGAAAAAAAAGAGAGAGAGTTTAAAGAATGATTAACTCAGGGATTAAGAGCCAAGACTTAGAAAATAGCACCTTTTGGGGGCCATGGGATAGAAAATAAACCATAAAAGAAAAAGGTGATTATCATCAGAGAGATAGGAGGATGAACAAGAAAGCCATGTGAGAAATAAATGTCAAAGAGTAGTTAATGTCTAAGCCAATGGGAACTGAGAAGAGACGCTGGAAAGGGGTCTCAGACATCTGGAAAGATGGGTAGCCAGCTTGACCTCCCATACCTGGGTTACAAACATTTTGGGCTAAATACCTTGAGAACCATGCCAATGTTCTTTCCTCCCAGGGTATAAGTGAGAGCCTCTCTATCAAGAGACCTGGGCAGAGCTGTGTTTCCCATAGCCTTGTTGTTTTCTCTTCTCCTCTGGGCCAACAGCCCAGAGAACAGAGCTATTTTGCTTGCCATGAAACTCATGCCCCCTTAACTCTTTAACTAACGATGGGACAGGTCAGAAAAATTATGGGCTGAAAAATTTAAGTCATTGCAAAACTGTAGGTTAATCATTATTTATGAGCAACAGCAACAACAGATGGAGGAGGTCTCCCAGTGTGCTCTAATCGACTTCCATCCAGCTCAAATGATAGGCTAGGAATGGTGGAAGTGAGAATGAGGAACTGTCTTTTGTTTTCTACGTTTACTGCTGTGGCCAGTTATCAAATGGTAATAACTGACATTTAATGGCATGAGATTTCCTAAGGGTCAGTCTCTTGATCAAATGTTCCCAAACCTGACTGATACTGGATCATATGGCAAGTAAAAGAGCTAATCTTAATATTCATAGGATCCTGGGCTTGTCTATCTTAAAGTAATTAAAGTAAATATAAATAAAAATATATATAAATAAATATATAAATATACAAATAATATAAATATATAAATATATAAATAAATTTAAAGATATATAAATAAATAAATATATTAAAGTAATAGCAAATGGACTTCACTAGGAGCATTAAGGATGAGGCTTGAGTTTCTATTAGTAGAATAATTTATGGAACCTATGGAATAATTTTTAATCTTAGTTCCATAAAACCTTTATTTTTAAAAAAAGATTTTATTTATTTATTTGAAAGAGAGAGAGAAAGAGTGAGAGAGAGCCTGAGAGGGGAGAAGGTCAGAGGACAGAGCAGGGAGCCCAACAAGGGACTCGATCCCACGACTCCGGGGTGACCAACCCGGATCACCGCCAGAGCCAAAGGCAATGGCCCAACCAACTAAGCCACCCAGACGCCTCAGTTCCATAAAACCTTTAAAGATCATGAGAAATCAATCTGGAGAAGGATTCAGGCAGGTGAAATCATGTGGAACAAAGAGCCTTCAAAGGATCCTTCTATAACAGAATGACTTTAAAATAAGATTTCGAACCGTCGAAGGAGTTTGAAAGCCTTGAAATTAGGTGTAGATTTTTGGGGGAGTTCATAAACTACATTTCCCAGGTGGCCTCGCGGCGAATTTCTGCACTCTTCTAGGTCTCTTCGCCGCGTGGTAACCTGGGAAACGTAGTGCTCCAAGCTGCCCGGCTCGTGACGCGTGCGGAGAACTGGGACCGCGCAGCCTGAGGCGGTCCAGGGTCTCGGGAATCCAAGCGTGAGCCGCTCTTTGCCCCGAATTTGGTTTGTGTCGGCCGGGGAAGACCCCATCACCTGACCCCGACTGTGAAATGACCTGGCCCCGGCTTCAGTCGCCCCAGGCACCACTCTGGGGAAGTCCCGGTGGGCGAGGCACCGCAGCGTCCGGTCCGGTTTCTCGGCAGCGGGGCGGGGTGGGGGAGACGGTGCAAACAGTCCCGGGGCTCGGAGCTCGGGCCCTGGGCCCCACCCAGGCTGAGGCCGCGCGGGGAGGAAGCGCGTAAAGACTGAGTGCGAAGTTTCCCTTTCTTTTTTCTCGTCAGAGCAGCTCCAACCGGCGGTGGGCTGCAATGCCGAACTTCAGTTTGTAGGGGAGCCGAAGGGGTTAAAACAGACGACTCCCTCCACACACACCTCCCCACCCACCCACCCCGCTGCCTCCTTCACGCGTCCGGCCCGCCAGCCATGGGCGGCAGAGATCACCTGTTCAAAGTGCTGGTGGTGGGGGACGCCGCGGTGGGCAAGACGTCGCTCGTGCAGCGGTACTCGCAGGACAGCTTCAGCAAACACTACAAGTCCACGGTGGGAGGTGAGACGTCGCCGCGGGGGCGGAGTGGACCCCCGCGGGTGAGGAGCCCGCCGGGGGCTCGGTGGCCTTGGGTCCTTACTCGGCTCAGGAAGTAGGTGTCCGGGAGCCTGGAGGGAGTACTTGCCGGTGTTCGATGTGCACGTTTCTCTTGGGTTTCCCCGATGAGGTTCACGCAGTCGGAGCTGACCGCCTGGAGAGGGACTGGGCGAAGGTGTGAAGAGGAGGAATGGGGTAGGGAGGTTGAGGAAATACGCAGTGGTTCGTTTCTCCGGGGCAGCGTGAACTCAGGTCTCCCGTAGCCTCCCGAGCGGTCACCCGCAAATCTCTGCGATCAGCCGAGGCCGCTGGGACCCCCTCGGGGAGGCCTAGTTCGGTGCCAGCTGGGGCCCTCGACCCAGATCTCACAGGAAGCTGATGAAGGAACAGGAAGGTGTCGTCTGGCCTTAAGGAGCCTCCCTTTGTTTGGGGGATGCCTGCGTGGGAGAGCCCCTGAGCCGCACTATCTCTGATGCTCACCAAGGCTGATGAGCTGTGTGTATTTTTGTCCATGGATTGCTTAAAATAAAGACAGCTAGAAATTATTCAAGGTATCCGACCTGTCTTCCCACCCCCCTTTCTCTCAAGCTGCGGGGGCGGGGAGGGGGCGGGGGGGGGTGTGCAGCGGGAAGGAAGGGAACACCAAGTTCATTCATTTCTTTCTAGGAATGGCCTTGGGCTCAACTTTTTGTCTTTCCCAGAAGTAGAACTGACTTTTTGTTAAGGTCTTTAGTTGGGAAGAGTTGGCAAAAGGGGAGAGTTAACAAACATTAAGAGAACCTTTTTAAAGGAAAAAAACCTACACTAATGTAAATTTTGAAGATGGTTACTTAGGGAACTAAAACATTAACAAGCATGAACATTGCAATGAAAACATCCTCCTTGAGGACATCCAGCAACATCTAGGATTTCCCTACCATTCTGCCCCAAACTCCTAAATAATAGAAGGGCTCTTATTTCATGGGTTTGGTTAAAAGTGTTGCACGAATTAGCTTTTAGCAATGGCTCTAGTTTTCCTTTAGTAAAGAATAATGGCTCTGGCTAATTTTTTTTTTTTTTCCGTGTTTATTCTAAATTTCCCCTAGCTTTCATTTCTGTCATAGATATGGAAAAATGTGTTTCCAATTCTGGGAAGTTCCTCTGTTTCTCTCCTCAAAAGATTGTCCCTGTGGCATACTCTTTCAGGCTTAGTTTCTGGAGTCTCAGCATTGGAGCACAGCTCTCAGGCACCTTCCATAGGGTGTCTTCTTCCTTGGAATCCTCTGGGACCTGTTCCCTTGACCCTATTCCCACCCAGAGTAATCCCTACAGCCTTGTGGAGGGTGTAGAATTCCCCCAGTGTTTTTCTCATAATACAATTGGATTAGAAACCAACAGTTAAATTGAATGTGGAAGATACAAATGCCACCACACTTACCTCATTTCCCCCTTTTGCCCTATCATCCCGTCCCCCAGAAAACCCCCCTAGACCTTCCAGAAACTGTTTCACTTGAGATCAGGAGTTGTTTTCATAATTGCTTCCATACCTCCTAACCCCAGCCTGAGGGACAGTAGTATCACATACATTAGTCTGTTGAGAGAGTAAAAGCTGAGGACCCCTTCAGAGAGTGGTAATGAGTTATCTGTGCTAGTGGTCCCTGGAGACACCTGACCGCCTCAGTCAGAAGACCATGCAAATCTTGATCTTGGGGTCATAAGTTCAAATCCCACGCTGGAGGTAGAGTTCACTTTAAATATAACAATGTTTTAAAAAGAGAGAATTGTCTGTTCCACTCTTAAAAGCCTTTGTGTGAGTTCATCTCAACCCATTGAGAACCTAAAAATAAATCGATAGATGGGATCAGAGTTTATGTCTCTAGGGTTGTAACCTCCTATTTGATCTGAGTTTATTCACGGATTTTTTTTAAAGGTAAAGTTTATTCAATTGTACATGTATTTTCAGTGGATTTTGCTCTGAAGGTTCTCCAGTGGTCTGACTCCGAGATGGTGCGGCTCCAGCTGTGGGATATTGCAGGTGGGCTGGGGAGACGGGATGGGAACCAGGGAAGACATTTTGGTTTAATCAGCGAGCTCTCAGAAAAAGGGGGGTAGCAAAACCAGAAGGTTTTTTGTTCTGTTTTGTTTTTAAGATTTTATTTGTTTGAGAGAGAGAGAGAGAGAGAGAGAGCGCATGAGTGGGAGAGAGGTGAAGGGGCAGAGAGAAGCAGACTCCCCACTGGGCAGGGAGCCCGATTGGGGGGCGGGATCCTGGGGTCATGACCCGAGCTGAAGGCGGATGCTTAATGGACTGAGCTACCCAGGCGTCCCACAACCAGAAGGTGTTTTTCTGGAGCTGGAATGGTTGAGTTGTGGCGGATGGAGAGTGTTTGTAGATATTTTCTGTAGATGTTTTGCCCTGAATAAATGTCGAGCCGTTTCTCTGTGGGTGGAATGGCTGGCAAGGCGGTAGATTGTCCAGACCATAGGTGGGTGCTCTCAGAGCCGAGGGAGGGTGCTTTTTCCGGCCTTTCAGCTGACCTTGGGGAGAAAGAAGACCCCCAGAAAATAGAAACAATAATAACAATAGGTGACTTTTTTACTACGTGCCAAGCACTTTCCTGAGCATTTGAGATTCAGTGACTCGTTAATCCTCACCACAACCTTGAGAGGAAAGCTACTGCCTCTATCCCCACTGTACAGATGAGAAGTCTGAAGCACTGGAAGCTTCCCTTGCCCAAAGTCATACAGATAGTAAATGACAGAGCAGGGACTTGGACTTGGGCGGTCTGGACTCAGCCACAGCACATACTGCCCTCCCCGACAAGGAAGGTAGAAAGGGCAGGGTGTCGGAGGGGTTTCTGAGACTGATTCTCAGTATTACCTGTTCAAGGGCTCCCTCCTTTCTTCCCAGGGCAGGAGCGTTTCACCTCCATGACTCGACTGTACTATCGGGATGCGTCAGCCTGCGTTATTATGTTTGACGTTACCAACGCCACGACCTTCAGCAATAGCCAGAGATGGAAACAGGACTTGGACAGCAAGCTCACCCTGCCTAACGGAGAGCCAGTGCCCTGCCTGCTCTTGGCCAACAAAGTATGTGGTCAATCTAGGAAAATGGGCCCTGGCCTCTCTCTGCAGTTGGAGAGTAAGCATGTCTAAAAGGCTCTCCGATTCCGGGCATCCATTTCCCCTTCTCAAGTTGGCAAAATCATCTCTACCTTTTTTCAAGGGATGCTGGGACTTTCTTTGGGAAGAATGTTGGCCAGATTTTAGATGCCGGTGTTCTCAGCCACTGGCGGAAAGGTTTTGCATCCAGAAGCATCTGAGCAGTGTTCCTCTTCCCCGGAAGTTTATGGTGTTGCCTTTTATGTACTCTCTTTGCCAGTGTGACCTGTCCCCTTGGGCAGTGAGCAGAGACCAGGTTGACCGGTTCAGTAAAGAGAATGGTTTCACAGGCTGGACAGAAACATCAGTCAAGGAGAACAAAAATATTAATGAGGCCATGAGGTGAGTAGCTCGTGTTGTTCTGGGGTTGGGCACGCAGATTTACCTGCCTTCTGCTGCCGCGCCCCAGGACCTTCTTTCCTTTTCCTGAGCAAACCAGAGCAGACTGAGCCACTGGAATGTCAGCTTCTGAAGGTCAAGGATGCTCTCCTATCCCCTGAGACAACGGGGGACAGAGGGGCGTTTAAACCTCATGGCTTGACTGCATGCCGTCTGGTGATAAGACCGACAAGGTCTGTCATTTCTCCCATTGTTCTATCCATTTAATCCGTCTTCTGTCTGTTTTCCTTGTTTTTTAGAGTCCTCATTGAGAAGATGATGAGCAATTCCAGAGAAGATATGTCTTTATCCACCCAAGGGGACTATATCAATCTACAGACCAAGCCCGCCTCCAGCTGGGCCTGCTGCTAATAGCGTCTGGCTTGTTTTCCTTCCTACGTTTCCATCTCTTCCCTTCAGATGCGCACCCAGCAATCTTGTTAAGCACATTTGAACCGTCTCCTGCAAGCTGTCCAGAAGGAGGACCATCGTCACTAAGGAAAGACCTGGGACTCGTGTGTGTTTCTGCATGTGTCCGCCAGCTCCTGTTTGCTGCTGGCTCCCGGGGCTCAGTACCTTCCATGTAAAGATCACCTCATCCCTCAATTTGTGATCTAGGGTTTTGTGGGGAGCACTAGAGATCAGCACCTGTGGTTTAAGGATCCTAATTCCACCTGTTTTTGCATTTCTTTTTCCATTTGATGTATGTGGGTATCTCAGTCTTATCTGACTTCAGATTTCGAGGAAAATGAGAACAAAGGGCATTTTCCAAATTCAGTGTAGTTATTGCTTTCAGATTCTTTCTGTCTTGGACTTTGAGTTGAAACCTCTTGATTCCGAGACAGGCAAGGAGTGGGGCTGGATATCCGTGGGTCCTGGGTCACAGGAGGTAACCCAAAAGTCACACCATTGTTGAAGCGTCTAAAGTCATAATTGCCTTTCTCTTGTCTTGGCTTCAAGAATAGTCAAGCTTTTAAACTGTCTGTGGTGTGTGATGAGAGCCTTTCTTTCCCCCAAAGAAACAATTGTCCCATTAGGGTTTTCTAGTATCTCCCTACCCGTGGGGTGGGAGCAGGGTTCACAAGGTTTCAGGGTTGATGTCTTGATGCCTAAGTCTGCAGGTGACATTGTTGGGCAGTGCTGCCCTGAAATAGATCTGTTCTTTACAGCCCTGGGATTCTGAATGGAAGAGGGAGAGGTTAACAGGACAAAATCCTGCAGGGCCACTTCCTTCTGAGCACGTTGGTGCCTACCATTTACCAGCCATAGGAAACGCATTTTATGTGCAGACCTTTGCCTGAGTGGGGAGAGTAGACAGACAGAAAATCATTGAGCTATTTAAGTGCTAAATCGGGTAGGGTTTTTAGTATCAAATCACTTCTAGACAGCTTCATTTGTTGAATTCTCACAGAATGGTGATTTATAACCCACCCAAAGTTATGAATATTCTTCGTGAACTCAGAGTCCTAGAGTTCTTTGAAAGACACTTATTTTAAATACATTGTCCTAAATAAGTGGTTCCGGAATCAGACTTATCAGAACCACCTGGGAAGTTTGTTCAAATTTTTAAAAAATCAGATGTGTACATTTTAAGATTTCTGGGTCCAAAACTCAAGCCTACTGAATCAAAATTTCCAGGGGCGTGGTGTGGGAATATAACTGGTTGTTTTTCAAACCTACCCGGGTCATTTGACCAGCCTGATTTGGAAGACATTGCTGGAGAATTTAGGAAAGATGCAGAGACCCAGGCATTCCTTGTGTTAATGATCCTGGGTTTCCCTCTGCTCTCTTTGCTCTCCAGGTGATTCTGATACACCCCAGACTTTGGAAACTACTCTCCTAAGCAAATGATCAGAAGCCAAATATGAGAAGGAAAACAGGAGCCAGGCCTTCAGTGGTTGGTTGGTTGGTCTGTTTTTAATGACAGTTACGTTTTTTTTTTTTAAGATTTTATTTATTATTTGACAGAGGGAACACAAGCAGGGGGAGTGGGAAAGGGAGAGAGAGAAACAGGCTTCCCACTGAGCAGGGAGCCTGATGCAGGGCTCGATTCCAGGACCCTGGGATCATGACCTGAGCTGAAGGCAGACACTCAACGACTGAGCCACCCAGGCGCCCCCAGTTACTAACTTTTTTTTTTTTCTTTTCTTCACCTTGTACTTCTGTTACTCCAGTACCAGTTACTAACTTTTGCACAGTGTTTTAAGACCTTGAAGTTCTCTTTTGTATTACCCTTTTCAAATAGGTTTTTATTACAATGATTCCGAAGATAAGAGTGGAATAGCAAATTTCCTTTATGTGAAAAGAAAATTGATTTTTATTTACTGGTTTAAACCTCTGCAGAGTCACAAATAAAGGTAAAATAAGTCTTGTATTCATGGTGGTTATTGGCTTTTAATGTGAGTTTATTAAAATGCTACTTTATGCTGATAATTTAAGAGTATTAGGAAATGGAGACTTTATTATTTATTTATTATCTAATTTTTTTTAAAGATTTTATTTCTTTATTTGACAGAGAAAGCATAAGTAGGCAGAGCAGCAGGCAGAGGGAGAGGGAGAAGAGGGCTCCCCGCTAAGCAAGGAGCCTGATGCAGAACTCGATCCTGGGACTCTGGGATCATGACCTGAGCCAAAGGCAGACGCTTAACCAACTGAGCCACCCAGGTACCCCTATTTTTTAAATACCTTCTTTAAAAATGAAGGTAAATGTTATTCTATCTATTAATTTACTGGTATCAATTGCCTAATACTAATTCAGTACGTGACATTCCAAATACCACTTGGAAATGTGACTATTGTGGGAAATTGAATATGTTTTCTTTTTCTGTGTGCTGACTCAGGATTTACCTGCTTTTTCAAGCATTGCTGGCCGTTCTGGATTTTCTCTCGTAAGTGGTGACCATTATAGGGCTGAAACTAATTAAGGAAGAAATTGAAATATAATTAATTCCTCTCTATGTCTCTATCCATAAAAAAAAGGGAAAGCAATTAAAGATTTTAAAAAAGAGGGAAATATTTATGTGATTAGAAATATAATTATACAAAAAAATAACTATATCCTGTTATTTGGATGCTATGTCTTGGTATAATTGTTTGGAACATGAATATTGTTGTGGCCCTTCCCTAGAGAAGGTTCCATATTTCAGACAGGATGCCCCTCCAGCCACTCAGCTGGACTTTGGACAAAAAGAAAACAAGCATTTCCTGCAGAGTGTTTTTAAGAGAACCAAGGAAAGGCTGAGAACAGAGCTGTGAGATTGTGACTGCCCTGGCTTTGGATTAAAAAAAAAAAAAAATGAGAGGAAGCTAAGAGGGGGCAGGAAGAATCCTCAAGCCGACCCCACCGGGCGTAGAGCCTGGTGTGGGGCTTGATCCCAGGACCCTGAGATTATGAAGTGAGCTGAAATAAAGAGTCAGATGTTCAACCCACTGAGCTACCCAAGCACCCGTGCCCTGGTTTTGGACTTTGACCAGAATAGCTGAGTGACCAAACAAGCAGAGAAAAAGAGACCACAGGTCAAGGAAGGGCCCTCTGCACTAAGTGATGTATTTGCTCTTTTGTTACTTAGTACTAATGAGCCAGAATTACTCCCCAGATGATTTCCCAAATTCATTTGCCTTAGCTATTACTAAGATATGTTTGGGTTCCTCATTTTGTTCTATCATTTCCAGGGGTGCCTGAGTGGCTCGGTTAAGTGGCTGCCTTCGGCTCAGGTCATGATACCAGAGTCCTAGGATCAAACCCTACATTGGGCTCCCTGCTATGGAGAGAGTCTGCGTCTCCCCACACTCATGCTCTCCCTCTGCTAGTGCTCTCTCTTGCACATTCTCCCTCTCTCTCAAATAACTAAAATCTTAAAAAAAAAAAAAATTTCTCTGTCCTATCATCTCCAGATTTAACTCATCTTTAAGTGGTCTGTCATCTGTCCTCAGGACACTGTCCCATCTAACGTGAGGCTTTTCCTGTCTGCTGTTGCCTTTTGTAAGCAGTAGTCTGCTTTTGACATGATCTCAGGCTATGGTTAGAAGGTATAAATGTCTCCATGGTATTCTATAAGATCCATTGGCAGTTTGCCCAAGGAAACAAACCTCAGTGCCCTTTTCCCCTTTACCCTCTTGGGTCACGGTACCCTCCTGAAGAAGCTTTATGATGTAAGTGACTCATTTATGAAAGCCAAGTAATCCCCAAAGGTGCAGGTTGGAATAGGTAGGAAGCCACTAGAAAATGTTATGTGTTGGAAAGTACTACATGTATTTTTGCTTTGGCCATAAATACCTGTGACTCGAGAATATATCTATATATGGCCTTCATTGGTAGAGAAACCCTGCCTTCTGTCTGGCTTTCAAGCATAATTTGAATCCTCTTAAATTTAATCTGCAGGGTTTCAGTATGTAACAGTACTGCTCTGTATTAGGATTCTCCAAGGAAACACAACTAAGAGGAGATACATACGTAAAGGGATTTATTATAAGGAATTGTTTCGTGCGGTTGTGGAGACTGGTGAGTCCAGCATGCAGACTGGAGTTCCAGTTCAAGTCTCAGAGCTGGTAGGCTGGAGGAGCTGATAATTCCAGCTTGAAAGCCATGACCCAGGAGAATTCTATTTCACCCAAGAGAGGATCAATCTTTTGTTCTCTTCAGGCCCTCAACTGACTGGATGAGACCCTTTCATATTTATGGAGGATAATCCGCTATATTCTATCTACTGATTTCAGTGTGAATCTCATCCAAAAACACCCTCACAGAAACACCCAGAATGATGTTTGACCAGATATTTGGACACGCCATGGCCTAGTCAAATTGACTAACTATCACCTACACTTCAAAGCATTTCATTGTGTAATGGTGGTATTTTGTTTTGTTTAAAGATTTATTTTATTTGAGAGGGGAGGTGGGGGAGGGGCAGGGAGAGAGAGGGAGAGAGAGGAAAGCAGACTCCCCGCCTGAGTGAGGAGCTCCACACAGGGCTTGATCTCACGACCCTGAGATCATGACCTGAGCCGAAATCAAGAGTCAGACGCTCAACCGACTGAGGCACCCAGGTGCCCCACGATGGTAGTGTTTTGATTCCTCTTCACACTCAAAATTTGATTCACACTCAAAGTGTATGGGATTAGGAACTAACCACACAGTAATGAGAATAAAGAGGAGAGAACAGGTAGGATGAGCAAGGAGATAAGGTAAGCATTTTATAATTGGTCATGCTGTGAGGAGGGCAGCCCAGGAGTACTGGCTGCTAATACCTAATTTGATATAAACTCTTCCCTCAGATCTGTGAGTTGTGTGCGCTCTTACGCCATCTTTGAAATAAGAAAGCAAACAGTTCTTCGCATTTTATGTTTGAGGGAACGTCTCGAAATTTGACTGACCGAAAGGCAGCCAGTTGAATTTGTAATAAAGTCAAGACTTAACTGCAAGTCTGAATTTCCCATCTCCGTTCTGTCAGTTAGGTTTCTGGGAACACTGGACCTGAAAAACCTATTATTTATTTATTTGACAGACAGAAATCACAAGTAGGCAGAGAGGCAGGCAGAGAGAGAGGAGGAAGCAGGCTCCCCGCTGAGCAAAGAGCCCGATGCGGGGCTCGACCCCAGGACCCTGGGATCATGACCTGAGCCGAAGGCAGAGGCCTAACCCACTGAGCCACCCAGGCGCCCCCTGAAAAACCTATTTTAGAAAATAAGCCCAGGGGCTCCTGGCTGACTCAGTCCTTGGAACATGCAACTCTTAACCTCAGGGGTTATGGGTTTGAGCCCCATGTTGGGTGTAGAGATGACTTAAAAATTAAAAAAAAAAAATCTTTAAAGAAGGAAAATCGGTCCTAACATTTAGAGAAACAGAACTGACCCTTTGGGGTTTGGAGCTTCTGGTTTATGTTAGCTTTTGAGACCGTGTTCATATATGGAATGGAGACATGCATGTTTCCATAGTAAATTTGGGGGCCCAGTAAGTACAGTTTGAGTAGCACGCAGTACGCTATTTCCTAAGATATTTATTTATTTATTTTAAAGATTTTATTTATTTATTTGAGAGAGAGAGAGAGCACGAGAGGAGAGAGGTCAGCAGGAGAAGCAGACTCCCTGCTGAGCAGGGAGCCTGATGTGGGGTTCAGTCCGGGGACTCCAGAATCATGACCTGAGCTGAAGGCAGTTGCTTAACCAACTGAGCCACCCAGGTTCCCGTTCCCTAAGATATTTAATCAAAAAGTTTCACTTTCTAAGATAACGTCACCCAAATGCAGTGACTATCATTTAATTTTTTTTTTCATTTAATTTTGAATATCAGCTATCTGATTTGCAAGTACAGGGATTTTAACCACCTTTCCATTTTCAACTGTTGCTGCCAGTAGCTCACATCTGAGTGCTGAGTGCTAAGTATTCCCCTAAGCACTTCACGTGGATTATTTTTATTTTCACAGTGACCCTATGATAGGCATATATATGGAAACAGGCACAAAAAAATCAGCCTTTGCCCAAGGTTACCTAGCAAGTATGCTAGCCTCAAGCAGTGTGACTCCAGAAAATGACCCTTCACTACAGAATACACTGCTTCTCATTTTTTATGTGTGTGTTTTGGTGGTGGCATCCTTGAATTTTTTCCATATAAGAAATGCTCAGTATGACAGAAACAAAGAGTAATTTTTTAAGTGGGTACATAGATTTTTTAAATACTTTTGTCACGAAAAATTTTAAATCTCATGAAGGAAAATGAAGAAGAAAAATTGAATGCTCCCATAGTCCCACAACCCAAACAAAACTTCTATTTACAGAAATCCACCTAACCTTAGCTCTTAACACTTTAAAATAGAGAGGAAGAAAGAAGTCTGGGGCAGAAGAAATATACACAAGAAAATGAAATTAAACGTTTAAATTGACTGGGGCCCAGTCTTTCTGGCTGTGATCTGAGGGCAGAGGACCATCCTCCTTAACTATGAACATGTCTCCAAAGCTACCCAGCCTCTGGGGTTGTAGACAGACGAACTAGACGCACAGCCTTTGTGTCCCATCCTTTCTTATGAGTATGGTGAGCAAGAGTCAGCAGATTGGAGATAGAAGTTAAAAAAAAAAAAGCCTGGGAGAAATTTTCTTTAACCTCCTGGCAGGGTCTTCAAAGACAGGTAGCTTTGTGTGCTCTTGTGATCAATGGAAGTACTGTCTGTCTTTAGATCTAGCTGGATGACTTTCATGAGGTCACAGGACTAGAAGTGTGCGCAGCACAGAGTAAGTGCTCAAAATTTGTTATACATCTTCCAGCTACTATAGCATAGCCTTGAAGGAAATGGGTCTTTGTTAGGGACAGGGAAGAGTCCTCAGTCTGCCACCCCAGCACTGCCATTTCTTAGCATCTTAAACCCTAACGGGAGAAGGAAAAGACTGCTTCCCAAGATAGAACTACAATCATAGGGAAATAAAGCATTGAGTTTAAAAGGCCCATTAAGGGGCACCTGGGTGGCTCAGTGGGTTAAAGCCTCTGCCTTTGGCTCAGGTCATGATCCCAGGGTTCTGGGATCAAGCCCTGCAATCGCAATCCACTCTCTGCTCAGCAGGGAGCCTGCTTCCCCATCTCTCTCTGCCTGCCTCTCTGCCTGCTTGTGATCTCTGTCTGATAAATAAATAAAATCTTTTAAATAAAATAAAAGGCCCATTAAATATCCATTTCCAGGCAAAAGGAATGACTATCTTCTGTCTCCTTAGCTTTTTTTTCTTTTCATAGTTCTTTATAGTTTTATGATGTATATTGTCTGTTCAGTGTTGTCTGATGGTGCTTTTAAAGTCTCGCCTCTCATATGATGTCTTCAGTTTCCAACAAACTGGTTGTGGCTGAGACATGTGCCTAGGGCAGAGCACTTGGGGATGGGCTCTCACCCATCTCACCTTGAAGATTGCATTCCCGGTTCTGGTATCCAGAGACACAGTGCTGGAGCTCCTGAAGGCATAATTCAGTACTTGTCCACTAAAAAGTAAGCTAGAAGTTCAAATCTTCAGTTCCTTTCTTCTTAAGAGACAGTGTTTGTTGAAAGATTCAGTGAATGAAGAAGCATATGGAGGGAAGATGTTAGCTAAAGCTGAAGTGAGGAGAGAGTAGAGTATGACCCTCACCTTGGAAGAGGAAGAGCCTTAATTCAGTGGCCATCTATCAATTGGCCTTGAACTAAATTAGGAAGGCAAGGCCTGGAAGACCTGTCCTGAATTTTCCACGTTACCTGCACATGTTGACTATGGCCAGTTCCCTTCATGACCTAATAAATGAGTAACAAGAATATCTCTGCCTCATCTCACAGTACTAAAGAAAGGTATTTTCTAAAATAATAGCAATCTGCCCTAAGAAAACAACCTTCAGTAAAGTCACTTGTGATCACTGCACTGCCCCAGTCTCTGCACTGGCATTTTGACAATCATATGCTTGACGATACACTTAGTCAAAATATATTCAGACACTGATTGAGGAAGCTTACTACCCAAAAAACCAGAAGTGTTGACAAGAATGTGGAGAAACTGGAGCCCTTGTGCAGGGTTGATGGGGATGAAAACGATGCAATTGCTGTGGAAAACAGAATGGAGAGTCCTCAAATATTAAAAACAATATGACTATATGGCTAGCAATTCTACTTCTGGGTGTATACCCCAAAGAACTGAAAGCAGGAGCTCAAAGAGATATTTGTACACCCATGTTCACAGTAGCATTATTCACCATGGTGAAAATCTGGAAGGAACCCAAGTGTCCACTGACAGTTAAATGGGTAAACAAAATGTGGTATATACATACATTGAAATATTATTTGGCCTTTAAAAAGTAAAACATTTTGATACATGCCAAAACATGAATGAACCTGGGAGACATTAGGCTAAGTGAAATCTGTCAACACAAAAGCATAAATATTACATGATTCTACTTATATGAGGTTCCTAGAGTAGTCAAATTCATAAAAACAGAAAGTAAAATGATGGGTGCCAAAATCTGGGGAGACAAGGAATGGAGAATTAGTGTTTAATGGTACAAAGCCTCAGGAAGGTGAAAATGTTTTGGAGATGGATGGTGGTGAGAGTTGCACAACAATGCAAATGTACTTAATGCTACTAAACTATGCACTTAAAAATAGATAAAATGGTGAATTTAATGATTGCACTTTTTTACTACACACACACATACAAATTCAGGGAAGAAAGGGTAGAGTGACATGGCTAAAGGGAGAAGATAACTTGTTTAATGCTTCGCTGGTGGACTATGCCATTCTCTTCCCTAAAAGAAGAATGCAAGGATAGGGTCATTTTCAAAAATTGAATTTAACAAATATTTAAGATATTGCTCACTGTGCACTGGTGACTGTCCTAGGGGCTTTTTGTATTTCAACTCATTTAATCCTAATAACCCTATGAGGTAATTATCTTTGGTCCCCATTTTGCACTTGAGAAAACTGAGGCACAGTGATTCAAGTTCTGCAACTACTAAGCTGTGGACCTGAGGTTCAAACCAAAACGCGCTGTGGCCCCAGAGCACATGCTTCTAATCATTAAGTCCCTGAAGTAATGCCGGAGACTGCGACTCTAATGACCCTGAAATGGATCTCAAGGTCCAGAATGGAGAATGGAAATTGGAAGTGAAGTTATTCCTTGATTATGATCCTGCCTCGCCGCTCCAACAGCGGTTGGGGACCCTGAGGGCTGTTGCTGGAGCCATGGGAAAGGGCTTGCGCGTTTAAGGTCAAAAATTTTGAACCTATGAAATTTCCCTCCAATTCTGAAGCAGCGCCTTAGTGACGAATCGGCTGCCTATCCCACGGGTTTTGCTATTAGTGCAGTTTCTAGATGATCAAGGCAGGCGAAATGAAACATCGTTAAACTACCACTAAATGACATTGAACCCTATGTAAATCTTTTTTTCTAGTCGTTTCAAGATGCGACCCAAAACGAATCTGCAATTCCGGAGTGGAAACCAGGGGGCGGGCCAAGCAGCGACCATTTTTGTTTTGCGGCCGTGCGCTCTCAGAGCATCTTGACTAACAGGACCCCACGGAGGAGGCGGGGCCTATCAGTGCGCGGGGCGGGGTCTGGGAGACGTGATGATTCAAACAGGCTAATGAGCTCGGCGCATCTGGCAGAAACCGCCAATGACCGGGCGTGATGGGGCGGAGCCCACAGGCCCTAGTGGGTTTGGTTGCACCGCGGCTTTGGCGCATTTTCGGCTGGTTTGATTCATCCATTTTGAAGAGACGGGGGAGCGGGGGGCTCGTCTGATTAAGGGGCCCTGAACCAAGAAGCAGCGGAGTTTGAGAAGCCTGCAGCTCGGGGTTCGGCGGCAGCGGCCCCATCGGCCGAAGTTGGGGGGGGTGGGGCGCCGAGCGCGCGGGGTGGGGGGGGTCCTGGTCTTTGGCTTCTCGACTCGGTCCTGTTTCGACAGCGAACATGTCTCGGCCTGTCAGGTCAGTGCGGAGTCCGAGGCCTGGAGCGGGATGGAGGGGGTTGGGGGTGAGTGGTGAAGGACTGGGGGACAGAACCCTGCAGTCGGCCCTCTCCGGTGCCACGCGCGGCCTCCTCCCTTTCGGGGCCCGCGCGCGCCCTTGAGCGTGGGGGGCCCTGCTGGCGCGCGGGGCTGCGCGGGGGTGGCGGCCGCGCGCCCATGCGCGCGCTCCTCCCCGCCCCGCGCCGCTGCAGGGCTCCAGGCTGCTCTGCTGCCTCCCCCACCCGCCGCACTGGTGCGGGCGGGGTGTTCCCTGAACCGCCAGCGGCTGGAGGGGGAGGGGTGTGAAGTCAGCGCCCCCACCCAGGCCCCACCTCCTCGGGGCCAACCCCTTGGAGCCTGCGGGGAGATCAGCCGAGTCGGACTCGGGCTCTGCTCCCCACCCCACCTTAAGTGAGGAGGGGCCGAGACGCCCGTGTGGCCCCTTACCCCCTCTGCTGGCGTGGGGGTGGGGGAACTCAGCCCTCTTTCTCTAGCGGACGGGGGTGTTCCATGCAAAGGGGGAGGGGCAGTACTGCCAACGAGCCCCGCCTCTGTCCTCCAGGGTCGCTGCAGGGCCCCGCCTCCCGGATTGGGCCGGGCGTGGGTGGGACCCGTTCTTTTCCCTCCGGCAAAAGTGAGAGCCCGGGACGGGGCCCTGGAAAATAATGACTGTTGCCTTTCCCCCGACTCGGAATTCGGAGCGGGTTAACTGCTCCTCCTCCCCCCACACCGAGCTCGCTCTTTCCCTCCGACTAGAAATGTCCTTCTCGGGGAAATGTCCCTATTCAGGAAGGTGCGGGTTAACAGCACGACCCAAATCCCGTGTGGTTCTCGTTCCCGCTGCCTGTCTACGCTCACTCGGCGTACGTGTCTCGGATGTTTGTAACCCTCTCTTTCCCCCCTACATAACCTAATAATAAAGGGACTAGGTTCAGGTAACCAGTAGACGCGATTCTGAGAATTTCAACAAGTTTGCAGTTCCCCAGTGGACGGTGGAATCGCCCTTTGCCGTCCTCCTGGCTATTGTATGGAATGTGCCATTTATGGAGGGGTGTGGCTTAATCCAATGTGTTGAGGCCTTTAAAGGGAGAGCTGTTGCAAATAACTGTTACTTTTAATGTAATGTCCGTGACGCTTTCGATGTTAAGGAATTGGCTGCTTCGCATAGTGTTTTCTAGATAAATAGGTAAAGGTTTAGATTTTAAATGTTTTAACAGTTGTTGCTTCCCCTTCTTCATTCCAAGTTTTGTGAGAAACGGAAGTATTTTGACCTAGAGCTCTAAGGAGAGGTTTGGAACCCGGGAAAGGGTTTTGTTCCACACCGTTCTAGCTCCTGACTAGATCATCCGTCTCCAACTGGTGGTGGTATGGGACTGCATACTTCCACGCTCGGGGTGGGCATGAGGAGAGTGCTAACTAACTACCTGACTGCTTTTCTGCCTTCTCATTTCTGCCCGCATCTCTGGTAACTCACCGTCGCCACCGGGAAGAGTTTGCCCGCTTTCTGGCAAGGAATCTGAATAGATTTTTCAGATGATAGTATGCTTACTTTTTTTGACATGAAAATGATCAATGTATCCCATCAATTTATGTAGAATATTTTCTTTAGGATCAGGTTAAGTAGACAATATCGTAATAAAGATTTGATTCATCTGGATTGGATCTCCTGTCTCTGGAAGTAAATTACTGTGTGGTGAAATTGGACTATTTTTTTTCTACCTTTCAGCTTCGGTTCACTAGGTTTTGATGACTTTATATTATAGTTGTGACTTTATTATATTCATCTGCCTGAATTTGTGTTCCCAGATTTAGATATTGGAGCACGAACAGAACTTTTTTTTTTTTTTTTTTACTTGAAACTTTGATTTTTTTTTTATTATTATTTTTAATATCACCAGGTGGGACTATATTGAGCATGGGTGTGTCCGTTTTTTGGAGGCTTTGGGACTTCACAACCTTTTTCTTGTTCATTATGTTGTTAAAAGTAATTTTAATTGTCTATTTGCCCCTAATTGAAGAATGAAAATATATTGGCTTTTGGGGTCACTTTCATATTATTTTAAAGCAACTTGGTTTCTGATTATATATTTTAGTGATTAAAGTCTCTTTGTAACTTTAAAAAGTTTTTAATATACTCATGACCAATAATAAAGCAGAAATAATTAAACTTGAGTTTGGTGGTTTGTTAAATTTTGCAATAAAGTCCTGTATTAGGGAAGTGCCTTTGTTCCAAGGTGTAAATGAAGAATCTGTATACCTGAGGGCATTTGACAAAAAATTAATGGTAGACATTAACCAGATATCAGAATGATCGACCTGTTTAAAAACAAAAAAAAACAAACAAACAAAAAAAAAAGCACAAGTTGGAAAATAAGTGTGAGTGCTGCTTCTTTTAGGACATATTTCTGCCCTTTCGGGCATATATATAATTTTGGAGGTTTTTCTGCTGTTCATATTTATTGTAAGCATTACTCATTTTTATTTTAATACTAACCTGAGCATTTAAAGAAGAATTAGCAGTGTACTAATGGCTACTTGACACCAATTTCCATGTGCAGGGAACGATGAACTGATAAGCCGGAGCAGATTTTTCCAGAGATGTGTGCAACACATCTGAGTAGTTTTGTTCATACAGTGTTGCTGTCCCTACCTTGTACAGCATCTGACTCATAGTATATAAATGAGAGCTCAAATATTTTAGGCCTTGGGTTCAGTTTTAGAGCATAAAGTTACAGCCTTGGAGCTAGGAAGAAATTTAGGCAAATTCATTTTACAAGTGACTTAATAAGGACTTGGGCAAGTGAAGTGTCTTGCATCACATACTAGATGCAGAGGTTGGGCCTAAACCTAGATTTCTTAATTCTCAGGCCTCTTACCCTCACCCTTTGTGAATAATAATCGCTTTACCTTCAGCCTGTTAAGTATTGATGTTAACTGTAGTATACCGGCACTTTTAACTCTTCAGAGTGCTTTCATGATTCTTGTGAGGAAGGAAGGAAAATATTATTACTTGTAAAGATGAGAAAGAGAAACCAGAGATTGACTGACTTGCCCAGACTAGAAACCAGGTTTCTTGAAATTCAGCATAATGTATTCTCCAAAGATCCTCCTCCCTTATTGAAAATGATCCCAAGTCATCAGATCAATGTTTGCTCCTTTCTTCAGAACATAAGTGTACTTGATATCTGGTTGTTTTTTGTTTAGTACTTGAGACTGCAAGGAACTTTAAACCTTGAAAGTTTAGATGTGAAAGCATAGGTTCATATTGGTTGATAAAAATAATTTTTTAAAAAATGGTTTAAATAAGAGCAGTTTTGTTCAACTCAGTTTAAAATAATTTTCAGAGATACTTAGCTGAAAGTACGTTTTTGAAAAACTAAAAAGAACTTCAGAGATTGAGCCCAGTTCCTTCAATTTACCAGTGATGACTTTGAAGCCAAAGGAATTAAAGTATAAAAATAGTAGCAAAACTGTATTTAAACTGCATGAGTTTTAACCATTCTCGTTTCTGCTAGATCTGCATTGCCTGTGTTTGATTCCACATAGAAGGTAGTACAGGTCAGCAGTCCCTGTATAGTTTGAAACCTTTGGAGCCATGTGTGTTTTGGAAGTTCAGTTATTTTCAAAAATTTTAGAAGTAACGGGGCCTACTGTGAATTAACGGGCTATCACCATTGAGTTCTGCAGTAGTACTTCTGTAATCAAACACCTTAATGTCTCTGTAATAAAACTGAATTTTCACACTAACAAAAAAAATGCAGCTAAAAAGCCCTCCTATTGTTAGGTAAACCTGAAACATTTGGTTTTCAGAACTTTCTGAATTTCTAAATTATGGATTAGAGATTGTGGACCTTTAAGAGAAGTATTTTTTCAACCTTCAATTTTAGAAAAAATAAAATCACGTTGAAACCCAAAAGAGCTATATCACTGAGCAACTTTTTTGGTGCCAAATTTTCTGCCAGAAACTTTACACATATTTCACATTCTTCAAACAACTCTTCAAGCAAGGTGTATGTTATTCCCATCTCATATGTGAGGTAGCTGAGGCTTGGCTAAATTAACTGGCCTAGTTCCCCTGTGAAGAGGTGAATCAGAAATTCAAATCCACGTGTGACCAACCCACGACCAATATGATCTTCCCCGTGAGACACACTGCCACAGGGTATTACTCTTTCTCATGGTAGTAGCGCATTTTGCCATCTTTGAAAAGGGGTTAACAGTTCATAATAGGACTTCGATGGGGAGGACCAACTTGAAAATGGGGGAGGAGGGTGAAAGAATTTTTATTTTATTTTTTTTTAAGGAATAGGAGAATATGTGAAGGGGTTAAAGGAAGATAACTTGAATGGAGAGGGAAATAGTGTGGCACTTGGGGGAGGAAATGTGAACATTAGATAAGTGGCATTGCTTTCAGTGTGTATACATTGTAATACAAGGGCATTTGCTCCCTGACTAAATTAAGTGAATAGATGTCAAAGCTACCTAAAGGACACTACAGGAAAATTAACGGACTCATTTTATGTACAAGTATAGATGCAAAACCGCCAGACAGAATATTAGCTAACTGAATCCAGTGTGTATTAAAAATAAATATCAGTGGGATTTGTCCCAGGAACAAAACTTAAAATCTATTACTGATACATCATATCAAAAAACAAAAAGAGGGGTCACCTGGCTGGCTCAATCAGTACAGCATGTGACTCTTGATCTTGGGGTCATGAGTTCACGCCCCACATTGGGTGTTAGAGCTCACTTTAAAAAAATAAAGGACAAAGCAAAAACATGGCATTGGAAAGGTTCAACACCCATTGTAAAATTTAGTATATTAAAATAAGGAAAATTAAGATTAATAAAAATTGCAGTTGATTTAACTTGACAAAAGTTTCAAACTAAGGTAAGTGGTTGAATTTTTAGTGTTTTAAATAAAACTAATTGTTGGGGGAGGTAACATGGTGCAGTGAAAGAAACCCGGGGTCAGGC